ATCATAGTGGTAACCAGGGATCTGATTGGTGGCTGTGGGCGAATAAATTGCTTCTGATTGGTGGACATTTGGCTGCTGGCAGCCGCCGGCGCACTTTGCCGAGCGTCCTACCTGTTACAACGAATAGCGAGTATCGAATGCTAGAGGTTATCGTGGCGATCGCCCATTTTCGGATTTCGATTGACATGGACAGCTCCGCGACGCGCATCCGCCCCGACCCAACTCACCGCAGTGCGACAGGCCACTGTCTCGGGTGCGGCTCGCGTACTCGGCACCACGACCACTGCCCGCACCATCCAAAGCGCCGCGGCAGCTCGGCGGCGGACCAAGGCCAACAGCTCATGCTCCCTCACTTGCCGAGACTCGAGCCTGCCGTCGTCGCTGCAGACGCGGGTCCAGGACCAGACGACTACAACTGCGATGCGGTCCATGAAGGAGACGATGAAGGAGATGAGCCCGTCGGCTTCAATCGCTCCGATCTCAAGGCGCACCTCGATGAGCACTGGCGGCGCGTCTCGGCGACACTCCCGAGGATGTATGGCACTCGTGTGGCCCAGTCGGCGACCTTGGACAAGACCAAGTGGTCCAACGACTCTTTTATGCTCCCCAACGCGCTGCTCAAGGCGGGCGACGCGACGATGTTCGACTTCCTCTTCTCCAACATGCAAGTCTTTGTCTTGTGCCCATTCTTGTTTTACGGCGAAGCCATGCGCGAGTTCGAGCTGACATGCGTTGCCTGCGGGGAGCAAGGGTGCCATCTCAATGGTTGGAACAGCTCGTGGCAAGTCGTCGTTGGCTTGGAGAGCGTAGCGTTGGGCAAAGTCCGCTCGTTCAAGCAAGTCATCGCGATGGCGCTGATCAACGACTTGGCCGTCGTGCAGTACAAGACCTTCACGTGGCCCGTCGACAAATTTACCTTCAAGGACGCCGAGCACTTGAAGGCCTATGGCACTAAAGCCGTACCGAAGGCGATCCAGGCGGCGCAGTCAAAAGGCAATACGCACCAGGAACGACAAGACTTCAACCAGCAAAGCGAAAAGTTGCGGCGGACGACGGAGCTCCATCCTGACGCTGCGCCTTGCGCTCAAGGTACAGCAGCCAGCACCGCGCCTCCAGTGCCAGCACCAACATCATCAGCACTAGCTCCTGCAGCGCCAGCTCCGACAGCACCAACTCCTGCAGCGCCAGCTCCAGCACCAACACCTCCGGCGCCAACAGCTCCAGCACCAACAGCTCCGGCACCAAGAGCTCCTGCACCAACAGCTTATGCACCAACAGCTTCTGCACCAACAGCACAAATGCGGGCAACCTTGACGCCGGCCCCATCTGGCCACCGTGCTGCAAGAGTCAACAGTCGCAATTTAGCTGCACGGCCTAGCCAAACTCGAGCGTCTTCGCCATCGCGGTCGAGCACAGCCCGACGCGCCTTCACGGCGCGCCAGCCGCGACAAGAGGACACGCCTTGCGTCGAGTGTGGGCTACCCCGACGGAAATCGCACAAGTTCGACTCTGCCGGTTTTTCGCCCTGTCGTTTGGCCACGGTGAACAAGTACACTGCTAATCCTAAGCGGTTCAGAAATGCCGAGGGCAAACGAGAAACTGCGGCCGACGCAATGCAGCGCGTGTGGTCGACGATGAACACCGAGCAGCGGAATGCGCTGTACCAAGCTGCCATGGTCACGCAACGCAGTTTAATATAGGCTAGCAGTAAAGAATGTACATTTTGCGACGATTTGCACGATGGATGCGCTGGAAGATAGTCAATCGCCTTCTAGTCATCCAGCATCTCGCATCCTGAAACGCCATTTCGGTTGGTGTGTCAAAGTTGGTATCCAGCGATCCTATTCGTCGTTGGGACTGGTATCCAGGCATTTGATTGGCTGTTGCGTGGCGGTTGCCATGTCAAAGTTGGTATCCAGCGATCCTATTCGTCGTTGGGACTGGTAACCAGGCATTTGATTGGCTGTTTCCTGGCGGTTGCCGGACGGTTGCCATTCCGAGGCGCTCCCATTGGCTGGTATCTGCCATGGTGGCGAATAACCAACCGTACATCGTCCGGAAATCGGGCACCCATCCCGGAAAAACTCCGGGCGAATGGCGTTGGAATCCCAGATTATCTGCCACCTCGCCTTTCTGGGCGAGGCTGCCAAATCTCTGGGATCATAGTGGTAACCAGGGATCTGATTGGTGGCTGTGGGCGAATAAATTGCTTCTGATTGGTGGACATTTGGCTGCTGGCAGCCGCCGGCGCACTTTGCCGAGCGTCCTACCTGTTACAACGAATAGCGAGTATCGAATGCTAGAGGTTATCGTGGCGATCGCCCATTTTCGGATTTCGATTGACATGGACAGCTCCGCGACGCGCATCCGCCCCGACCCAACTCACCGCAGTGCGACAGGCCACTGTCTCGGGTGCGGCTCGCGTACTCGGCACCACGACCACTGCCCGCACCATCCAAAGCGCCGCGGCAGCTCGGCGGCGGACCAAGGCCAACAGCTCATGCTCCCTCACTTGCCGAGACTCGAGCCTGCCGTCGTCGCTGCAGACGCGGGTCCAGGACCAGACGACTACAACTGCGATGCGGTCCATGAAGGAGACGATGAAGGAGATGAGCCCGTCGGCTTCAATCGCTCCGATCTCAAGGCGCACCTCGATGAGCACTGGCGGCGCGTCTCGGCGACACTCCCGAGGATGTATGGCACTCGTGTGGCCCAGTCGGCGACCTTGGACAAGACCAAGTGGTCCAACGACTCTTTTATGCTCCCCAACGCGCTGCTCAAGGCGGGCGACGCGACGATGTTCGACTTCCTCTTCTCCAACATGCAAGTCTTTGTCTTGTGCCCATTCTTGTTTTACGGCGAAGCCATGCGCGAGTTCGAGCTGACATGCGTTGCCTGCGGGGAGCAAGGGTGCCATCTCAATGGTTGGAACAGCTCGTGGCAAGTCGTCGTTGGCTTGGAGAGCGTAGCGTTGGGCAAAGTCCGCTCGTTCAAGCAAGTCATCGCGATGGCGCTGATCAACGACTTGGCCGTCGTGCAGTACAAGACCTTCACGTGGCCCGTCGACAAATTTACCTTCAAGGACGCCGAGCACTTGAAGGCCTATGGCACTAAAGCCGTACCGAAGGCGATCCAGGCGGCGCAGTCAAAAGGCAATACGCACCAGGAACGACAAGACTTCAACCAGCAAAGCGAAAAGTTGCGGCGGACGACGGAGCTCCATCCTGACGCTGCGCCTTGCGCTCAAGGTACAGCAGCCAGCACCGCGCCTCCAGTGCCAGCACCAACATCATCAGCACTAGCTCCTGCAGCGCCAGCTCCGACAGCACCAACTCCTGCAGCGCCAGCTCCAGCACCAACACCTCCGGCGCCAACAGCTCCAGCACCAACAGCTCCGGCACCAAGAGCTCCTGCACCAACAGCTTATGCACCAACAGCTTCTGCACCAACAGCACAAATGCGGGCAACCTTGACGCCGGCCCCATCTGGCCACCGTGCTGCAAGAGTCAACAGTCGCAATTTAGCTGCACGGCCTAGCCAAACTCGAGCGTCTTCGCCATCGCGGTCGAGCACAGCCCGACGCGCCTTCACGGCGCGCCAGCCGCGACAAGAGGACACGCCTTGCGTCGAGTGTGGGCTACCCCGACGGAAATCGCACAAGTTCGACTCTGCCGGTTTTTCGCCCTGTCGTTTGGCCACGGTGAACAAGTACACTGCTAATCCTAAGCGGTTCAGAAATGCCGAGGGCAAACGAGAAACTGCGGCCGACGCAATGCAGCGCGTGTGGTCGACGATGAACACCGAGCAGCGGAATGCGCTGTACCAAGCTGCCATGGTCACGCAACGCAGTTTAATATAGGCTAGCAGTAAAGAATGTACATTTTGCGACGATTTGCACGATGGATGCGCTGGAAGATAGTCAATCGCCTTCTAGTCATCCAGCATCTCGCATCCTGAAACGCCATTTCGGTTGGTGTGTCAAAGTTGGTATCCAGCGATCCTATTCGTCGTTGGGACTGGTATCCAGGCATTTGATTGGCTGTTGCGTGGCGGTTGCCATGTCAAAGTTGGTATCCAGCGATCCTATTCGTCGTTGGGACTGGTAACCAGGCATTTGATTGGCTGTTTCCTGGCGGTTGCCGGACGGTTGCCATTCCGAGGCGCTCCCATTGGCTGGTATCTGCCATGGTGGCGAATAACCAACCGTACATCGTCCGGAAATCGGGCACCCATCCCGGAAAAACTCCGGGCGAATGGCGTTGGAATCCCAGATTATCTGCCACCTCGCCGATTTCTGCCGTCCACAGAATGGCCTCGTTCTCGTTCTCGTCCTCGTTCTCGTTCTCGTCGACTTCCATCGCAGCCTCGTCAATGTCAAACGACAGCAGTGCATGACAGCACGCCAAGACGTTGGTGTCGTTGACATATCCGTCAGTCACCCCATGCTTTGCCTGTTCTAGTAGTGAAGAGCGCTTAAGTAGAGTAGCTAGCTCGTCGATCTCGAGGGCTTGCTGGACGGGTCGGTCGACATCTTGCTCTAACAGAGCGTTCAGAGGGGCGGGCAGTACGGAGGCCTTTGCCCAGCATCGGCGAATGATGTTCTCGGGCGTGTCGTCCCATGCCGCGCGGAGCCAATCGAGGCAGTGCGAGAGGTGCATGTGCTTCTTGACGTCGAACTGGCTGCTGGATTTGGATGCGAAATGAGAGTCCAGCTTGTCGAAGAGGTCGCGTAGTTGAAGCTTGCGGTATTTCGCCTCGAGACTGCGGACGATGCCCATGTCGATCGGCTGCAAGACGCTCGTTGCGTTTGGAGGCAAGAGGAGGAAAATGATAGACTTGTACTGGTTTGGTGGCGTTTCATTGTCTATGCAGTGTAAAAGTGTTAGCACAGCCATATTCAGGTGGACAACTATCGTACCACGCACTGCAACCACTTGAGCAAAGCGTGGTCGATGGCCTTCGTTGGGTACACCACAGTAAGCGTCCGCCGCTTGAACTTCGTGCCGCTTAGTCCGTACGCCCGCTGCGCTTGGAGCTCGGCGTCGCTGCGTTTCATCAAGGTGGTGATTGCCTGGCGCGAGACGCCGTACTCGCGGGCAACCTCCGCCCTCATCTTGCCGGCCTTGACCTTGCCCACGATGCTGGCTTGGTCGGCGATGCTGAGGCGTTGGCGACAAACGCGCTGGTGCTTCGGCGTGGGGGCCATGCCGTCAATTGAGAAGTGAGGGCCCCAAGAGTCGAGCGCCCCGCGTCAAACGCTCCAGCCACCTCACTTTTGACCGCGAAACACGTCTACAGCGTCTGATTGACCAGTTTAGGCGGTACAGATTTTAATTGGTCAGCTCCGGCGACACGGCATCTGATTGGATCGACCGATGGCGCCAAGTGTGAGACCAGATGTGTCTGTATTCCCCTAACCCTCCAATTCCCTTGTCAATTAACGCAGAAGGTGTCTGTAGTACTCAATAGTGGAATTCGTGGAAAACTCAGCCCCTCGGAAGAAAAAAGCAAGCAAAAG